TATTAAAGGTAGAGCTCCCTCTGGGCCACTGAAGTGCTTCAAAACAGATTCATAAGACAGTTTGCTAAAAGTATGTTTAACTTGAATCAGAAATATATACAACTTGACAGTAGTTTTGCTTCCTCTTAAAAGCTAATTTATGATGTCTAGCAGGTATCCTTTTTAGAGATAAAATTAGCTGTGAATCTGTTGCTATTAAAAAGAGAATTGTCTTCCAAATGAGTTGATGATCCATTCTCCTAAATTTATAAGGTACAACTCGCTGATGGAAATATTTTACTCTTTGAACTCTGCAGTCATCTCTTGCCAAATATATATATATATATATATATATATATATATATATATATATATGTTTATTTATTTTGTTTTGGTCTGTATGTTTTTTCTCCCTTTATATCACACAAGATGTTTTTCTCCTCCCAACCTCCAAAAGCCTGTTGCTAAATATTTTCTTTCTTGAACACTTGGGTTTCTGTAGAAAAAAAAAGTTTCAAGAAACTGTCTTCACGCTAGCAATAAACTTTTTTCTTTGTCCTTTTCTTTGAACAGATTTGATCTACTTCCATTGCAAGAGATGTCTCTTAGCTAGGTTCTCTTTAGAAAACTTACTCTTTCTACTAATTTACAGAGACAGCTTTGATGACAAATACTTTATTTAGAACACTCATCTTACAAACACAGAAAAAAGCCCATGTTAGGATGTAAATCTTTTTCTTACTAAAGAGCTTATTAAAGGCAATAATATTTGTGTTTATATTTTAAACATTTGATATATATTTGCCTGTTAGGATTGAAGCGTTAGCTCCAAATGTTAACTGCTCCAAAGAAATGCAGTTTCAACAAATAACCTGAAATTGCCTCTGTTACATCTAGTTCGATTTAGAGGAATTTAAATAATAATGGCCTAAAATGCATATTACAATAACTCTGCTGATCTGTAACATCTTAAGCAAACAATTTAGGTAGAAAAGACATTTGATAAAAATAATTGGTTCAGGCAAAATAGAACTCACATTCTTCCACCAGATAATAATTCAGCGGGTATTCTAACTTGAGTAGTGCTTTATTAGACACAGTTCTCATTCTGCTTAAAGACTTAAGAAAAAAGACACATTCTTTATCTTTAAACAATTATTTTAAAATAAGTAAACAGCAGGAATGAAATAAAACTTCTCTATCGGATTTACTTGTTGTTATTCAATTTCTCAAAAATTTTCTTACGGGACAGGAGTGTCATATGTTTAGTTTCAGGACAAAGGCACCTTTTTAAATGAAGAGCTTAAAGAAAACCTTTAAAGGAATTTGCTTACTAGACAGTAGGCTAACTAAGCTTTTGGTTGTAAAATTATCTAGATTACAACACCACGGGCAAAAAAACTAACATTTAACAAACTTTAAAACTAATGTAAGGCTAATTTTTAATAAAGAGCATCTTTTAAAAATAATAAAAGCAGTTATGAATAACCCCTGGAATTAACTTTGGCTAACGTGTCTAGAAGGCACATTGTTTTACTATTCTTCTATGATTTTCTTAACTTGGGAGTTAAGAAAAATTATGTAACTTCGGAATGTTTCCAGCTTAAGGAAACATTTTTTTAATGCAGGATGATATGCAGTTAAAACAGGACAAAACAAAATCCTAGAGTCAAACAATATTAACTCATTTAGCGATTATGTATTATTCTTACTATTATTTTGTTTGATAAATGACCAAGCAATTAGATAATTCAAATAATTCAGATTTCCAGCTGTGTTATAAAACGTTCTTTTAATAATTTAGCAATTAATTGTGAACCTCTTGCATGTGATTCATGAATATTCCTTTTTATATCTTGAGACATGCATTTATATTTTACAGATTATTAATTACTTTTAGCTGCATATTGCATTAAGGTGAAAACAATCTATTGTAAGCTAGTTGAGTTCATTTAAGAGAGTGTTTACATTTAATGTTGCTTTTTAATAGAAAGGAATAAAGTTGCTAAATTCAATATAAGGCAATTGTTAATTTGTTAAAGTTGCAAATATTTTGTTAAAATGTTTTGGCAATAAAAACAATTTCATAGATATTCATAAATCTTCACTTTATAAGTTTCTATTCTATACACTTTTTAATTGCTTTAAATATATAAATATATTATTTATATTTAAAGGAATGAACGAATTAGAATTCTAATCCACTCTAAGGAAAGAGTACATTTTTCGCCAGGATAATTAACTATTTGCTTGGCTTCAATTTATCTGTCTTGTACATACAGTGATTTGACAGAACTAACTAGTGAACACTAACCAAAGCTAGAATCAACGGAGAGAATAATCAAGAAGGAAAAAAGGAAGAGTTTCAGGAAATGATATTTTCCCATCAGTGGATAGGCATGCATACATTAAAGGCATAAAAGGCAGCGGGAGGAGAAACAAAAGCTGTAAGCTAAGGATCCTGCAAGTCTGAATTAACTAAATAGGGAAAAAAAATGAAATCATTCTGCTTAAACCTGTTCACTAATAAAAGGAGAATCGCTTTTGTTAAATATGCTTGGTGTGATTATCAAGCAAAATTTTTTTCTCCCAGACATCTATGAATAAAACATGCGTTTGAGCACTAGGTAAACAAACAATAAATGGATGAGTTCAGTTACAACATAATAACATTTTATTTAGAAAACATATATAATCATATTTGTATTGGCAATCCAAATTTAATGACTTCTTTCAGTAAAATCAAAGTGCCTCACAAATAACATTTAATGCATAAGGATTGCTTATTCTTTGCCCTTTTTCTTCTGTTCTCCCAAAGAAACAGATTTTTAAGGTCTCTGCTAAACCATATATAAACTAGGTAAAATGTGTTTTTTCCAGAAAAGATTTTATTTTGAATCATCTTAATTTTAGAATAGAGATGCTGTAAAAATAAATTTAAAAATACGTTTTTGAGATGGGGTAGAAAACATTTTTAGTCTATGCAGCCTGGGCTGATTTGAATAAGATTCTGTGTGTAGCTGAACCAGTCTTTGGCTTATTAGCCATTTCATTAACACGACATCATCTTCTTCAAAATATGAATGAGGAGAAACCATTTACAATAAGAAAAGCAAACAACAGAATGAATTTCCTCTGTTGGTGTTTTGTAAGACTGTTAAACAGAAAATGGAGGGAAGAACTCTCTTTAGACGATATCACTTAATTAAGTAAAGCATCCTAATCAGAGTCCCCTCCAATTGTAATGACTGTAGGGAGTCAAGTACATTTCTGTCTATATTAGAGTATCTAACTGCAATGATTTATTGATATTTATTTTAGAAGTGCAACACAAAAGCAGTAAAACAGAGGAAGTAGGGAAAGAGGGAACATGCCAGTGCTTACTGCAGTTACAACCAGAACACAACAAAATTCCTGATTTTTGTGCGGGAGGTTTCGCTTTCCAAAATCAGAGCCCATCTTTATAAGAGAATGTTCCTTTCCCTCATTTGATTTTTCCAAATGCTCACTGTGGTGTTTCTTTGTCCATTAGATGAATCATTGATTCACTTTCTTCACTGCAAGAATCACTGCAAATGAGTGGATGGGCACCTGCTGTTTTCTGCAGTGACATTACTGGATTGCATTCTACACTGATTTTAGTCTTAAAATACAGCTTCTCTGTATGGGAGAGAGATTTGAGGAAGGAGAGTAAACATACTGTATAGGCAGACAGACATTGGCTGCCCTCCAAGTTGCACACAGCATAAACCTGTTTATCTGCTACATTTCACAGATCTCAAAAACATGTGAATAATCAGGAAAGCAACTGGATAAGTGATTCACACTAGGGAACCTAACCAATATTCTGATGAGAGAATGCTATGATGCTAAGATGTTGAGGCAAATAGGCTTGCATTGTAGAAACTGCACATAGTAAAGTTGATTAGTGGTTCAAAGGAAAAAACAATCTGTACTAAAATGAATTTGAAGCAGTATCCCACCCTGTAGTCTTTGGTTTGGTATATTTATATGCAAGTTACCTGAATAACTGAGTTTAAATATATACTTTCATCCATACCATTCCAATATTTGGGGCCAGTATACATTGGCCTTCATGTTAGTTGTCAAGATACTTTATTTCTAGAGACCAAGATATAAATATTGAGGGCTAGTGCCTTAAAACCCCAAATTATACCAATATATCTTATTTGAAATTAAATTACCAAACATACTTTTAAAAAAGCAACTTTTCTTGGAAGGCTATAGTCATTTTTTATTGTTATAGAAGATGAATTGTCTGATAGTAAGTGAACTAGGCATGTAAGGCTCTCATTGTGCTATATCAGTGCTTTCTCTATTTTTCTCTTATGTTGTTTCTTCCTTATTTGCTGATCATTTAATCTCCCTTTGCCTTATTCCCATGATTATTGTGCTTTAGTATTTAGCTGTAAAGTAGAAGCTCTAAAAGATTTTGAGGCTAGCCCCAAAAGTATACTTTGGTTTGGAAAATTTCATGAGGTTGTTAGTGAATTTTAGGCTTAAATCACTTCCATAAATCCAACCTAATTAATTACAGCAAGATGAATTATCAACTTGCTTGATATTTGTATCTATTCACTTGTATGGTAGATCTGTCATCACAGGCCTATATACCAAGAAAATGTAAGTTTTTCTACATTTGCAAACCCAAAATACTATTCCAGAAAGAAGAGCAGCAATACAACAAGGCAATTAAATACACACTCTATGCCCTACAGCTTTCTTTTTCCTGCATTGCAGAAAGACAAATTACTAAAGCTTTTTGATACTGGAAAACTTTGTTAAATTATAGTAACCATAGACATCATCATCTTAGCAACAGAAAGTCTTGGAGAAGGTAGGTGACCTGGAAATTGATATTCCAAACAATTTTTTGCCACATTTGAGCTTCTTCATTAAAGCTTTGCCTCAGGAATGTGTGTTGAGTCTACTGCCAATTGCATCTGCCAAATGCTTTTTCTTGCCTTAACATTTTCTCATCTTCTTGCTTCTCGTCTCAGGTTCTTTTTCTTCAGGATCAGGCACAGAGACTGACTGAATGGCTCCAATTATCAGGATTTGAAAACCCAGTATCAGAATCTACCACTTTGTGTAAGTCTGCCCTGAGCAGTCTTTTCTTTAGCAACAGGACACTTGCATATTTTGGGATCATCTTTTCTTCTTTACTTATCTCTGACCTTGTAAAATATGACAAAAACTTTTTCATGATTAATAAGTTCATTGTATGAGACATCTTGCAGGAAAGGCAACATAAGAACTAAAAAGCATTCCCTAAAAGATGTGTTCAGGTAAGTGACAGATGGAAGTTTGTGGATGGTCAAGGGTGTTACTAAAATTATTGACAACCTAATCATAGTCTGAAGACTTAACACGTTGATTTTTATAATCACAGAAAACTATACTAGACCTTCTGTGTGAGTCGGGATTTGAATATATGCCCACAAAGCTGGAGTTGGTTCTGTGAACCTCAATTAGGGTCAACCATAGATGTTTTACTCAGCCAAGAAGAATCCTTTTAAAGTTTTTTTAAATTGATAGCTATTCTGATTAAAAAATCATCACTAGGGGCTGGGCACAGTGACTCACCTCTGTAATCCCAGCACTTTGGGAGTCTGGGGTGGGCAGATCACCTGAGATCAGGAGTTTGAGATCAGCCTGGCCAACATGGTGAAACCCTGTCTTTACTAAAAATACAAAAATTAGCTGGGCATGGTGACAGGTGCTTGTAATCCCAGCTACTTAGGAGGCTGAGGCAGGAGAATGGCTTGAACCCGGAAGGCAGAGGTTACAGTGAGCCCAGATTATGCCATTGTACTTCAGCCTGGGTGACAAGAGTGAAACTCCATGTCGTAAAAAAAAAAAAAAAAAAAAAAAAGTAAAAAAAAATCACTAGGGCTGGGCATAGTGATGCACACCTGTAATCTCAAAACTTTGGAAGGCCAAGGTGGGCAGATTGCTTTAGCCCGGGAGTTTAAAGCCAGCTTGGGCAACATAGTAAGACCCTGTCCCTACAAAAAATTAGTTGGGCATGGTGGTGCACACCTGTAGTCCCAGCTACTTGGGAGTCTGAAGTGGGAGGATCTCCTGAGCCTCAGAGGTTGAGGCTGCAGTGAGCTGTGATTGTGCCACTGCACTGCAGCCTTGGTGACAGAGTGACACCCTGTCTCAAAAAAAAAATCATAAACTCATACATAATCTATATACCACAGGAACCTTAGAAATAACATATGGGCTGCAAGTGAACTTTTTAATTCTCAAAGCAATATAAAAATTATACAAAGTTAAAAAAATTAAAAGTTTTTCCCTCCTCTTTTCCTCCAGTCTCCTTAATCTCATTCCCCAGTGGTGACCATAATAATCTCTCATCTATTTTTACTGATTTAAAAAAATTCATATGCAAGCACGTCATCTTTTAAAATCACAAATAAAATCATACAACATAGTTACTATTTTAAACTTGTTTTTATTCACCTCAGTGTATGTGGCTGTTGTTTCATGCCCTAAACATGGGTGTATCTCATTCTTCTAGAGCAGCCAAAGATATTACATAATATACTATTATAGATATAACCACTACCATATTGAGAGATATTTAGATTATTTTTATTTCCTTTGCTTTTACAAATAATACTTCAGCAAACATATGTACAGTTTTTTTTATTTTTCTGTACGTGTACTTGCAGAATTAATTCCTTGAAGTACAATTGCTAGATAAAAACACATTTATAATTTTTGAATTATATTGCCACATTATTGACATAAGAAGTTGTAACCATTTATTTTTACTGACAGTTTTTGAGAGGTAAGGATTTTTACGAGGACTGACATGAGTTCTGTGTATGACACATCTGCCTTCCAGTCCATGTCTTCAAACTTGGCTAAACAGAGTTCAGTGGCAGCCGGGAGGCTTAGTGATGATCTAGCAAAAAGAATCTTCCTATGGCCTATGTGCTCGGATAACAGCTGTGGCTGGGAAGGAGCAGCGTTGGGATGAGGTGAGAAATAGCTAGGGAAATACAGCTGCCATCGGTGTAGGAGCCGGCCTGAGTTTTCTCCAAGGCCACTTCCTAGAAGCCTTCCTAACAAAAGTGGGGGCTGAAAAGCAAAACCAGGAGCCATTCTCATAGATTGTCATGAGAGTGGAGAAGCAGCTACATTAGCACCACGTGTACCCTCACTTTCTCCGGCACACTCTCCGTCTCTGCTCAGATTCTAATCCAAGTGTGCATTTACCTTTTCTCCATAGCTTGTCTTGGCTTCTCAGGAAGTGCTATTCTCAGTCACGTGTGGCTGCTCATCAGCAGGCAGGAGTTCTCTAGGCTTCCTCTCCATTTTACCATTTAGCTTCTCTCTGTGTGATTAACCCAGAAAATTTGCCCGACATTGACCCAGTCCCCAGATTTGAAGAGACAGCCTCATCCTTGAAACTTTGACTCCTTATTCAATACTTTCATAAGTCCTATTTTCATCTTGAAATAGAAACTGGGAAGTGCCTCTTAATCTACACCTAGATCTCAGCCTTTATGTTGAGGGGTTACTTGAATGTTCTCAGGGTTACAGTTACATTAGAAGTTTGGTTTGTATTTAGCATTAACATGCTAGGCACTACGGTAGCCCTTGCAGGTGCAAAGATGAATGAAACACAGTTCATGCCTTCAGAAGTGTATACCATGGTGAGGGGGACGCATCGACAAACACAAGCCACTCTGAGAAGCCTTAAAACAGAGGTATTTAATAAAAATTCTAAGAAGTCTCAATTCTGGAAATTTATCCTACAGAAATACCTGTGCACGTACAAGAGGACTTATAGATAAGCTGTTCACTGCAGCGTTGTATGTTATGAGTAGAGTTAAGAAACTTCCTGTCAACAAGGACATTTTATGCCTCAATGCTGACATGCAGTGATCTCTGGGATATATTTCATATGAGCAATCAAGCTGCAGAACATTATGGTTTATGTTGCTTTCTGTATAAGAAATCTAGGACATAAAAATATGCATTAATGCTTGTATATACATAAAAACATTGGAAGAGCCCAGAAAAAACCAGGGCAAGTGCTAATTTATAGGGGCATCAGGGATTAGTGGGGTGGGTAGGAAAAGGGAATGTAATACAGCTTTTCAATGTATAATTTTCAATGTCATTTTAATTCTTGAGCTATGTGACTGTATTATATATTCAAATATATTAAAGACTAAAATGATAAAATGAGATTCTCCCTCCTCAACCTCTGCATTTTGTGAGGTGTTTGGAAGTACTTGGCTACATTTATCTGAGATAAAGATGTTTACAGGGACTGGACAAGGGAGGCACCGAACAGGATGAAGAAACCTTAGAGTCCACTGGATTTTTCTTACCACATTCATAAATCTACTATCTCATGGAGATGATTTTGAGCAGAGCTAGGAGAAAGAATACTATTCTTTACAAAATTTTGAGAGATGGAATTTCTGGGTTTTTGTATTGTTTGAGATGGAGTCTCCCTCTTGTCACCCAGGCTAGAGTGTGGTGGCATGATCTCGACTTACTACAACCTCTGCCTGCTGAATTCAAGCAATTCTCCTGCCTCAGCCTCCCAAGTAGCTGGGCCTACAGGCATGTGCCACCTCACCTGATTTTTTTTTTTTTTTTTTTTTTTTTTTGGGTTTTCACCATTTTGGCTAGGCTGGTCTTGAACTCCTGACCTTAGGTGATCTGCCCACCTTGGCCTCCCAAAGTGTTGGGATTACAGGCGTGAGCCACAGCACCTAGCCTGGAATTTCTTATAAACAGGACACATGTAAGATATGGGAATAATTTCAGGAGTAGATTTCATTCTTTTAGAATCCTATAGGCAAGGCTGTGAGAATGGCCACCTCAGGTTTCCCATGATGATGTGGTAGGAAAGGCACAATTTACCTGCATCTTGAGTTTACCCACTTAAGTAATGAGGTAGAGCAATGTGAAACTTTTCTTCTTAAAGCTTTAAATAGGTTGGGCAGGGTGGCTCACACCTGTAATCTCAGCACTTTGGAAAGCTAAGGTGGGAGAATCACTTGAGCCCAGGAATTAGAGATCAGCCTGGACAACAAAGTGAGACCCTGTATCTATAAGAAATCGAAAACTTAGTGGGGTATGGTGGTGCACACCTGTAGTTCTGGCTATTTGGGAGGCGGAGGCAGGAGGATTGTTTGAGCCCAGGAGGTGGAGGCTGCAGTGAGCCATGCCTGGGCCATTGCACTGGTAATAGAGCAAGTCCCTGTCACACACATACACAGAGCTTTTAATGAAGGTCTCATACTGATTAATGAATGAGAGAAACTGGCTGCCTTACTGAAGAAATTCTTCTTATTGTTAACAAAAATGTGTGCCATGTATTTTCTAGAACATCACACTAAAGTGATTTACAGAAAGGTTGTGGGACTGAATTAGATCTTGAGAGTTCTCTGGTGTCTTCCATAAACTGAAATTGGGAAGTTTTGAAGGAAGGTATTAGGGAATAAATAACTTGTGAGGAAAAATGTTCATGATTATGTCATGATTATAATGTTAGAAGATTGTTAAAGAGTGATATCATCATCATATGAGCCACACAAGGACATAGAAGGCCCCTGGTGGATGAGGGGGACTTTACCTCCCCATACGTCTCTGCACCAAAGCTTATTACTAGTATGACTGCCCTGACTTTCCAGCTCGTTTCAGTCCTTTCTGGCCATAAGACTACACCCATGAAGCATGGGGGTGGGTGAGCATGAAGGGGTAACTCCCTGCCTTCCATTTACATTTCTCTCATTTCTTCCTTCATCCCCTACAAATGTCATTTTGTCTTTCAGCTGGTCTCAAATCAGTCCTGTGGACAAGTCTGAAAAATCCTAGTGATTTAGAAATAAGACTTTCAGATATGATAAAGTCACCATATAACTTATGTAGCCTACACCTAGTATCAGTTCCTTTCTTGAAGCATTAGTGAGTCATTTTACTTTTAAATGATTATCACACAAATTCAAACATGTTAAGCAAGTTATTGCTAGCAATCAGGACCGCTTGTTACATAACATCAGTAAGAGGGACTCAGGTGAGAAACAACTCTGATTATAGGCATTTAGCCCAAA